TGTGCTCGGTGTGTCCCGATGGTTCCCACACTGACACGCCACAGCTTCCTCTGCCCGCTGCCTTGGGAAGTATCCCTAAGGTGCCACCAGGAACGGAGCCTCTTACAGACACAGTCTTGGGATCCAGGGGAAGAGAAGGAGTTTTCAGTCTTTAGCATCTCCCACTCCGTCGGCATTGATAGCAAACATGGCTTCAGCCTCGGGAAGACACGGAGAGTCATAGATTTTACAGATCCTGGTCTCACCTCGGCCTTTCCGCAGGTACAGCCTGACAGGGAGAGGGAAGGAAACAGGTCAGGATGGACAGCCTGCTCCCAGGAAATCATCCTAATCTGCTCCCAGAAAATCATCCTAATCCATAAAGGAGTAAACAGAGCTGTAGGAACTTCCTGAGATGTTCATTTCCCTGTGGACCAGAGGGCTCAGGAGGGAAGCACGGGCTGGGGCTCTTTCCCTTACTCAGCTGTCGTGGCCAAGGCCTGGGACAGCAGCTGGCTCTGGTGGTCGGTGTTAAAGCCCTGGCAGAGGCCAACTCATCCAGGGTGTTGCTGCTGGAGGTCATTCCTGCAAAATCAGGGGAAATAAAGGGATGAACCTGGAGTTAGCCAGGAGTTTTGCCAAAGGACTGGAAGAAAAACTCACATCACCAGCAGAGATAAAAACTGAGGGAAAAATGCAGCCCATGGTGATGAAAAGAGAACGAAATGACCGGAACCATTTGAAGTGGATAAGAGGAAATGGCCTCAGGTGATACCAGGGAAGGTTCAGGCTGGATATTGAGAAGTCTCTTAGAGGAAAGGCTGTCCAGCCCCGGCACAGCTGCCCAGGACAGTGGTGGAGGCCCCATCCCTGGAGGGATTTAAAGCCATGTGGATGTGGCACCTGGGGACATGGGACAGTGGTGGCCTCAGCAGCACCGGGGAGCGGTTTGGCACAGGGATCTCCCAGGACTCCTCCAACCTGAACCATTCCATGATTCCAAGGACTCTACACAGCCAGCACAGACACACCTGTGCCTGCTGCAAACATCCTTTCACTTCCTCTCCTTCGCTTGGCTGCCAAATATTCCCTGGCGACAGGGAACATGGGAGCAGTCCTTGCTGCAGGAGAAGCAGGATTAGATCAAATTCCCTTCAGAAAGAGTGAACAGGATCCAGCCAGTCCTGTCCCCAGCTGCTCAGGAAGCTCCCAGTAGCAAGAGAGAGGGAAATCACCTCGTGCCAAGGGACAATGACACGAGAGCTGTGGGGGGAGAGTGGCAGGGACAGGAGAGGAACGGCAACACCAGAGCTTTCCAAAGGGAACACCTGCCAAATCAACCTCTAGGACCTGTGGAAAATGTTTTCCAAATGAGTTGTGAGTCCATTTATTCCTGTCTTCCACTCACAGACCTTTCAGCCACAGCCAGGAGCCGCTCTGGACGGAAGATCCCCTCTGTGTCCATGGATGTAGCTTTTCCCTCACTGAAACCCAGTTCTTGCAATAAATTAATCCCAAGTGTTTGCTCCTCCATTCTGCCACAGTTCACCTCAAACACCAGTGGATTTGAAGCCTTTCAGTAGCCAAGGCAGCTCTGGGTGCCACAGACAAGACCATGGTGGAGACTTTCCCTTGTCAGCAATCTGCCAAGGGACCCTCAAAACACCTATCCTGTTGTTTTCATTCATGGAATTAGTGGGATTCTCAACCCTGCAATAGGCAGAAGCAACCACAACCCTGGCCTTTCCTCACTAGGACTTTCAAAATAAGCCAAGGTTTTGTGTGTCTGTTCAAATTACCTTCCAAGGCACTGATTTAACAGAGAGGGTGTTCCACCCCTCCTGAAATTCATCAGGAATTAGAAATGGACACAAAATAAGAAGGAATCAGTTCCTATTCTGCATGGAAATAAGTAACAGATCCACACTCCCAGAACCTCAGGTCCCACCTCAGAATCCTATGAACACACACAGACACGTATGGTGACACTGGGAAGTTTGGACATCCTGGAGACAACTCCCTGCCACTACTAATAACCACCAAGAGAAGATAAAGATCAGCCAAGGGATTATTCCCGTGAGCACCGTCTGCTGTTTAACCCCCAGCAGCTCTGCAAGGAAAGGAATCCCAGGTGGTTTTCATCACTGGAGGCAAAAATATTGACTGACTTCATCAGTCCATCCATAGGTCTTGTTTCCCAAGATCAGCCCACCAAAGTGACCTTAAGGGTCGGGGGCCAAAGATGCTGCACTGTGCTTTGGCTCTCTGTGTGTGTAGAGACGTTGGAATCATGGAATTACAGAATGGGCTGGGTGGGACAGGACCTTAAAGATTACCCAGTTCCACCCCCCTGCCATGGCCAGGGTCACCTTCTGCTATACCAGGTTGCTCCAGGCTCTGTCCAACCTGGCCTTGAACACTTCCTGGGAAGGGCAGCCACAGCTTCTCTGGGCAACTTGTGCCAGGGCCTCCCCACGCTCACAGGGAAGAATTTCTTCCCAATATCCCATCTAAACCCACCCTTTGGCAGTGGGAAGCCATTCCCCCTTGTCCTGTCACTCCAGACTCTTCCCCAGAGTCCCTCTCCAGCTCTCTTGGAGCCCCTTTAGGCACTGGAAAGGGCTCTAAGGGCTCCCTGGAGCTTTCTCTTCTCCTGGTTGAACATTCCCAGCTCTCTCAGCCTGTCTGTGTAATGCTCCAGCCCTTGGAACACTTCCTGCCCCTTCCTGGCCTCCTCTGGACAC